TCTGGACTGAAATTCAAACCCATTCAGTTGCTGCAGATGACCCTCAGATGACAGGGATTTCATAGAGCTGGGTTCAACTGCACTCTCTCTTCTGGCCTTACTGTTAACAGTACATGAACTCAGAAAGGAATTTACAGAATTTGATCTAGATAAACCTGAGAAACCATATGCAAAATAATTTTCATCCATCCAAGAACATGGTTCAGCTTGTGAAATTGTGACTCACCAAATAACAAAGCGAACTACAATGAAGATTAACCTGCTGTAGGTTTCGGAACAAAATATATTTTTATATATTTCTGCCTTATGTTAATAAGATTGTACAATCTGTGGAGTTCAGTCTTAAAGGATTTTAGAATAATTGGTGTCCATAGGTTAAATGTGTAAATACTGCAGTTGGGGGTAAATTCAAATTGTATTTATCTTTAATTTGATTTACATTATGTTTTTGGTGTCAAGATGGGGTCTGGCTCCCCCATGATTGTGTATTGAATAAAGCAGTTTAGAGAATGTAGGTTTTTGGTGTATTATCTTTTATTTTCTATTAATAATACATATCTTAATGCTGTATGCACCCTTTTAACACTTTATTGCCAATTGACATATTGACTGATTGTATAAATCCACTATCAATAATACCTGTCATAAATTGGAAGTACAGGTGATGATATTTATTAAGCTTTCATCTGGTACTAAGGATACAATATATTTATATTATATGCTAAAAAAAAAATCAAAGACTTTATGTTTCTCCAGTCAGTCAATCAGTCGGTTTCTGACAGATTTCAGATGTCATGGAGGCTAGTGATAAAGTTATTTTTAGATATATCTATTATCTTTCAAATAGTTTCATTACTGTGCATTTAAAGTATGTTTCCAGGTTTAGATACGACAGCTACAGGCACATCAGAAAAGATCATTACAATGATGCTGATGACTTTTTTTCACTTCACTGACTTCCCTTGTGCCAGTGCTGTTTTCTCATCTTCATTGTTGGCATTGAGGAACTTCTTATGCAACATAAACAATTCTGAAGACCTCTTTAAAACTGGACCACAAAGCTCTGCATTTTCAATTCCACTTCTCCCAAGGCACGTGAATTTTTATAACTGCCACTCATAAAATGTTAAACAATTTTGTTTGCAGAAGTTAATTATTTCTTTTGAGTAGATTTGAGAAATACGTGTACCTGCTGTACATTTTCAGAATTATTAAGGCACGGTTTGCCTCTATTTTGATAACTATTGGACTTCTGATTGCATCCTAAAAATCTGGAGACAATAGTCCTTCGTCTTCTCTGCCCCTCTGCTGTTTTTAAGTCAACGTCATTATGTGGCATAAAATTTTAAATTAAAAAAAGTTTTAAATATGATAAAAAGTTACAATATCTGCAATCAGC